CACATAACAGTAAATTTATTAACAAGCTGGGTCTTAAGTCGACAGCTATTCAAAAATGAATTGATTTCAGGCTGGTGTTGTGGACAGATTTATATAAACAGTCTGACAATTTCACAATATTATTGTATTGTAATAATTATGTGGAGCAAATTACATCTGCACAAGTGCTGGATCTAGTTCCATTCTGAAGTTTGTCTCAAATCCTAACTAAGACAATAATCTAGGGTGCATTTACCATTTTGGCAAGGGAAACAAATGGAGAGTATCATCATCCTGATCCCAACTGCTCCTTTAAAAAAAACAGTGAACATAAACCTACTGAATGTCTCCATTTAAATCAGAGGGTTCCAATGATATCAAGTAAATAGTTACTCAGGAGAAGTTAGATGATTAAATGTGTTGTCTAACTCCTAAGTACCTATTCGCCTGACTTTATACTTACCTCACACACCCCCAACTAACCTCCCCCAGACTACTTAGATACGCCTAGACCCTGACCCAATACTACAGCTGCCGGACCTGACACTCTTACCCAGTTTTGATCATGAACACCCTTTACCTGTTCCAGACTTGACCACACCTTCACCCCCTGGTCCTGACTCCCTTTCTCCCACTCTGGATCCAATCCTCCATTTGCTCACTCAGGACCTATCCTCACATCCCCCGCCCGCACCTTTGCCTCCCAGGGCCTGACCTGGGAGCCCATGCCCCTTCACCAACTCCAGACCCATTCTCCACTCTAGGCCTGCTTCCAGCTATTCACACTTCCTCCGCCAATTTCCTCACTCCAGACATGATCTGCCTCTGTTCCAGGATCAGGCCTCCTCTTCTTCTGTTGCCAGACACATCCAGGGCAGATGGGATCGAATCAGGTCCTGTCAGCCTTGAGATAAAACCCTCAAACTTTTTTTAATGAACCTGTTTGGAAATGTTTTGATATACCTCACTGGCAGGCGGAGTTTGAACCCACAGCTCCTGGCCTACAGGTGGGGATACTACCACCACATAGTGGTGCCGGAAAACTGGATGTTGGCTAACATGGTGCCACTATTTAAGAAAGATGGTAAGGAAAAGGCAGTGAAGTACAGACCGGTGAGCCTGACATCAGTGGTGGGCAAGTTATTGGAGGGAATCTTAAGGGACAGGATTTACATGTATTCGGAAAGAGCACTGATTATGGATACCTTGACTATTATTGCTGCTTCATCGAGATGAATTAAGATATTTCTTTTCCAAGATAGATGAAGTTTTAATAAATGACACATAGGTAGATCTTTCTCAAAATGGCTTCATTCAATAAAATTCAATGGGCTGAATCTTACCACTTTTTGGTTAAATGCAAGTCGTGTCAAGTTTAGTGGAGTGCTTCTTATGGGGAGGCTCAGTGAGTTTTCTTGTTGCATCTTACAAAACTTGTCACATTAACTGCATTCCCCACATCAATGGCAAATATCATGCCCAATTTCCACCTCACCTTACCACACACCATTCCCACAACCACTTACCAATCATTGGATATTTGCCCTACGACCAACATCCTTTGCGTCAGAGCCATGTTTGATAACTTGCTGCACACCCAGAGAAGTACTGCCCTCAGGTAGCAGCCCTGCTTGTTGCTGGAGCCTCAGGAGAGATGGGTTAGGGTTAGGGTTAATGACACAGAGGAGGGAGATCCTCTTCCTGACAGACCAGCAAAGAAGGCAATAACACCACATCATGACTGCCTGGATGGAGGTTTGGGTAGGGGAGGCGATGGCCTAATGGTATTATCGCCAGACTATTAATCCAGAGACCAAGCTAACATTCTGGGGATCCGGGTTCAAATCCTGCCATGGCAGATGCTGGAGATTGAAATCAATAAATATCTGGAATTAAGAATCTAACAATGACCGTGAATCCATTGTCAACTTAGGGAAGGAAACTGCCATCCTTACCTGGTCTGGCCTACATGTCACTCTAGAACCACAGCAATGTGGTCGACTCTTAACTGCCCTCTGGGTAATTAGGGATGAGGAATAAATGCTGCCTAGCCAGCAATGCCCCTCATCCCATAAATGAATAATTTAAAAAAACCACCTGGGTCAGTGCCATCGTCAGGGTGCTGGAGACCAGGTTGCAGTGCATGCAGTTCCCTACCTCAACAGGGTATTTGCCACACTTTTATCTCTCCACCTCACACTTGGTCTATCACTGGCACTGCAACTCCCTCCCACCAAGGCTGATGACCTGACACCCAGTTTTTTCTATGCAGCACCTTCGCTCAGTTGCTCTTGTCATCCTCCCACACCACTAACCCTGCAGCCCCTCTGCACTGTCTTCTCACTGCCTCCAAACATTTTAATATCTTGCCCCCACATACGCCAGTCCTAACAGCCGTGCAATCTATGTGCATCTTATTCATACACCCGCTTTATGTTATTACAGGAGAAGACATCCCATAACACAAGAGAGCAATGTCATCCAGCTGGAAGGGTGCCTGATTTCCGTAACCTCACTCCATACAAGGACAGGATCCTTGCCCTCGCTGGAAAAGATTGGGTCCGCTTGTGTGGGAATGCAGAGAAACCAGTGACCAATCAAGTCCCACTTGTTATTGCACTGGAACGCTGACATTAACGAGCTGCTCAGTGTTATGTATCGAGTACCATTGTAATCACTAGCTGCCACACCTTCTGCCTCTCGTGTTTTATGGATACAGCCAGTGTCCAGGTATCTCAGCAGAGAACTGCCCAGCTCCCCCAGAGGGCACATCCTCTACCCCTGCAGGCAACAGTGTCCAGAGCCCACAGGAAGTTTCAACAAGGCTGCCTCATGGACAACCTACCAGCTCCGATACTGAAATGTTGCTGGGCTTGATAGATGCACAATGAGGGTTTGGAGGCTGCTGAGGACCTCCCACTGACTTGTGCAGATGGGCAAGGCAGAAACACCTAGACCACTGGCAGTCATAGGACTGACAAAGACCTGGCAGCTGCTCAGTTCCCGACAGAAAGGGACTGGTTAGCAAGGTTAGATCACATGGAATCCAGGCGGAATTAGCCAATTGGATACAAAATTGGCTTGAAGGTAGGAGACAGAGGGTGATGGTAGAGGTTTTTTTTTTCGGATCAGCGTTGCTCGCAAGGATCGGTGCTGGGCCCACTGCTTTTCATCATTTACAGAAATGATTTGGATGTGAATACAGCAGGTACGGTTACTAAGTTTGCAGATGACACCAAAATTGGTGGTGTACTGGATAGTGAAGAAAGTTGTCTCAGAGTACAGTGGGACCATGATCAGATGGGCCAATAGGCCAAGAATTGGCAGATGGAGTTTAATTTAGATAAATGTGACGTATTGCATTTTGGTAAGACAAACCAGGGGACGACTTACACAGTTAATAGTAAGGCCCTGGGGGATGTTGTCAAACAAAGAGACCGAGGGGTGCAAGTGCATAGTTCCTTGAAAGTGGAGTGCGGGTAGACAGGATGGTGAAGAAGGTGTTTGGCATGCTTGCCTTCTTTGATCAGTGCATTAAGTATAGGAGTTGGGACAGCATTTTTCAGCTGTACAGGACATTGGTGAGGCCACTTTTTGAATTCTGCTTTCAATTCTGGTCTCCCTGCTACACGAAAGATGTTGTTAAACTTGAAAGGGCTCACAAAAGATATACAAGAATGTTGCCAGGACTGGAGGGTTTGAGCTACTGGGAGAGGCTGAATAGGCTGGGTCTTTTTTCCCTGGAGCATTGAGGGGTGACCTTATAGAGGTTTATAAAATCATGAGGGGCATGGGTAGGATGAATAGCCAAGATCTTTTTCCCAGGGTGGGAGAGTCCAAAACTAGAAGGCATGGGTTTAAGGTGAGAGGGGAAAGTTTAAAAGAGACCTAAGGAGCAACTTTTTCGCAGAGATGGTGGTGCTTGTATGGAACAGAGGAAGACTGAGTTATAGGGAGAGATTGGACAAGCTAGGACTTTTTTCTTTAGAGCATAGAATACTGAGGAGGGGATCTAATAGAAGTGTATAAGATCATGAGAGGCATGACGAGGGTGAATGCCCTCAGTCTTTTGCCCAGGGTTGGTGAATTGAGGACTACAGGGCATCAGCTTAAAGTAAGAGGGGAAAGGATACATGGGAACGTGAGGGGCAACTTTTTTACACAGAGGGTGGTATGCATATGGAATGAACTGCCAGCGGAAGTGGATGAGGCGGGTACATTAACAACATTTTAAAGGCATTTGGATGGATACATGGATAGGAAAGATTTAGAAGGATATGGGCCAAGTGCAAGGAAATGGGGTTAGCATGGATGGACATTTTGATTGCCATGGACCAGTTTGAGCTGAAGGGCCTGTCTCGGTGCTGTAGGACTCCATAATTCTAGTGGAGGCTGGTACAATTACAATATTTAAAGGGCATCTGGATGGGTACATGAATGGGTACATTTAGAGGGATATGGGCCAAGTGCAGGGAAATGGGACTAGATTAACTTAAGATATCTGGTTGGCGCGAACGAGTTGGACTGAAGGGTCTGTTTCTGTGCTGTATAACTCTGTGACTCAAATATATCTTGATCAACCATTTTGTTAATATTATGAGAAAATCATGACTTTTCTTGAGTTATAATTCCACTGTCTTTTCTCTGGGCCAGAAGGTTAACCCAAACTGCCGATCAATTTATAAAGTTACCCTTTGTCATAGATTAAATTTTGAAGTTGTGCATTTGTAATGATTATGTAATTATTCCATCAGGGGTCAGGTGCAATTCTCTAAATGATATCATCTCCTAAATTAAAGCTATGCTTGGCACATGCTTCTCTGTAGTAACCAAGTTTCTTTTAAATGCAAAATTTTAGACATAGAAGATGGGTGCATCCTGCTACTGAACATGTTTGGTGTTCAAGTTCTAAAAGCTTCTCCATAAAAAGTGATTTCCAGAAAGAAGTAATAGAAGCAAACTATTTCTATCACAACTTTTACGCATGAATAAACATGTACACTCACCTCATTGTGATGAACCGTGGCTTGCTCTTGGAGGCTACGAATAATCTCCTCACACTGGGTAACATGTTCTCTGTTTGCAGATAGACCTTCTTGTGCAATCTGTAACTGATGGGTCAGCTGATCAATACTGTCCTCACAATGTTCCATTTGCCTACACTTTGTTTCATACTGGTGTTGCACCGTGAGCATATCATTCCGAAGCTTGTGGACAGTCTCATCACGGTTGCAAAGCTAATTAAATGGATAAAGGAAGGTATTTTAGAAGTAATATTCCTCCTCTTGGTTGAATTTTAATTTTGGTTGCCCGGTAACTGAACCAGGGCATTCCTCTTTGGAATATCCATTTTGATGTTCAATTTTCCTCATTCTCAATGTGGTTACAAAGTCAGTGGTTTTATGTATCAGTCTAAAAGTATTATCAGGGTCACAAATATGATATGAATTAGGTGGGGAGGAATCAATATTTTTCCACAAAGTTAACAGCTATGCATTACAGTAGTGATAAATGGGATATCAGAAAATATATTAGTTCAGACATATACCTGTGAGCAACTCAAGTGTTTTCAGCCAATACAATATGCACAATTACAAATCTAAGTGAGGGTGCAGCCCACAAATTGAGATTACAGTAGCTACAGCTTGTTATTGATTCCCATATATAAATGTGTAGAATATGCATGATAATGTCTTCAGTCGAACCTTGGGTTCCTTTATTGCCAACCAAGCTACCACCGGCTAGATCAGGAAGGTTCGAAAAGTAACAGGCCTGAAGTGCAAATCCTTTAGAGGTACTACAAAAGTAATACCACTTTTATCTCAAAGCTTGAAAACAGGGCAAATGACCACAATTACCGATTAGATGTCTCAGATAGATGTGCTACAGTGCAGCTTTCTAAAACAGGCTATGAGATTTCATTTTGTTCTACTAACCTGTCTATTTGCATCTTGTAAATCTGCCTCCAGGCTTTGCATTGAATTTTCCAGCTCTGTGATCTTGTTTATACAAGTCTGGTACTTTTGCTTATAAAGATCCAACATAGCTTCAAGTGATTTGCAATTCTGATTGGCTGCGGCTATTTGGTTCTCAGAGTCGAACTGCTGCTGTTTAAGATGAGCTATTTCCGATTCTTGTTTGCGCATAATGCCTTCACACTGAGAAACCTGAAAAATATGCATTTGTAGATGTCAGATTGTCAAAGTGTGTTGGGAACAGGATGGTAAGAATTGATTGGCAAAGGGTACCTATGAATTATACTAGTAACCTTTTAGAAACATGTGACTAAATTTTATAAAGTTTACTTTTTCTTATGTCACTTTTTTCCAACCCCAAAAGTTACTTTTAATGTTTCTTTTGGTGAATTATCCATGCTGTTGCATAGAGCATTGTACAAATCTTGGGTGGATTCATGCATGAGTTTAACCAAGGACCTCAGTTGAACTCATGGCACAGAAAAAATACACTGGATTGAAATACTGTACGTTTTGAGGACTGTAAGTACTAGGTAAGTAGATTCATTACAATAGAAATACCGATACGTGCTATTACTAGTTGAGGATTGATGGGTAGAGATATGTGGGAGAGTGCAAAGAGGCATTACTAATCTGACACTGGAAGGGGATATTATTAATTTGACAGTGTGAGAAGGTATTATTGATCTGACAGTGGAAGGGGGCTTTACTTTTCTGAAATAATCTTGTGTTATTAGGAATGCACCATATAGTTATTAGTTGAATCTCAAAACTAAAGATAGTTTTTGCAGTGAAGTTAGTTACAAACAAATGGGTTGGGTATATTTCCTTATTTTTGCAAGCAGCAGCCTACAATATCTGCTCAGAAAATATAGCATAGTGGGATTTTCTTCAGTCAAAATGAGTTGCTGGTTGGAATTTCTGAAATCAACTGAATTAGCGTAACTTGGGTGAGTTCTCAATATCAGAGATATTCAGTGTGATGCTAACATTGCATTTTGCTGAAGGCTTTAAAAGTTTAAAGCAGCTGAAGGGATTGTTCAGTAAATTTGAGAATTTCAGTTGTTCTTTAAAGAAAGACCTCTAAAAATGTTGGAGTACGAAATAATGCACGCATTTTAAACATTCAGAAAATGATGCATAGATGCGCTAAGTGGCATCTTTTGATGAGGAAAAGGAAGATGTTGACATAGAAGTCATTAAATTATATGTATGTGATCAAATGGATTATTCTTAAACTCTCCATTGAGTGTTGTGGCTATGGTGGATATTGATTCCAAATAATCCTCCAGATAAGCCCCAGTGAGAGCATGGTCCTGATGAGAAAGTAGCAGCATATTCTTGATGATCTCTTCTGCCACGTTGCATGACGTTAGCTAATAAAACTCCAGCAGAACGCTTGCACACCTATTGTGCGTGGAATCTTATAGTAGCCTGAACAAAGTGAACCAGCATTTCACCTGTATCTCCTCCAATCTTGTGTTTTGTATTCACTGCACCCAATGTGGCCTACTCTCCATTGGAGAAACCAAAGGCAGACTGGATGACCGTTTTGCAGAACATCACTAGTCTGTGCACAAGCATGACCCCGACCTTCCCGTAGCTGGCCATTTTAACACAGCGTCCTGCTCGCATGCCCACTTGTCTGTCCTCGGCAAGCTGCAATGCTCCAGCGATTCACAGCGAAAGCTGGAGGAACATCTCATCATCAGCCTAGGCACTTTACAACCTTCTGGACTTAATATTGAGTTCAACAACTTCAAATTGTGAACCCATTCTTTTCCTTTCTTTTAGCTTTGCTTGTTACATTGTCAGTCACCATGTCCTCTCTCCCCTTCTCCCACACAGTGGGACTGTCTATTCTTCCCAGTCTGGCATTTAGTCACACCATTATTCTGCCATTCTCACATTCCAATCACTTAATCTGACTTATCAACATCTTTTCTCCCTCAGCGCTCCAACACCCCTCCCCCACCACCTATTGCAATAAATGCTGTCCCCTTCACATTTTACTTCAGCTCTGATGAAGAGTCACCTGGACTCAAAACGTTTGCTATATATCTATGGATGCTGCCTGACCTGCTGTGATCTCCAGCATTTATTGTTTTCAGTACATATTCCAGCATCTGCAGTAATTTACTCCTAGCATTTCTCAATGTTGGGAGCAATTGACTGCATCTTTTAAGTGATTTCCAAGCACTGAGGTGAGATTCTTGCTAGGGAGTGATGAGTTGCCTGTTAAGAAGGTTTATTAACAACTTGTTAACAACCTTATTAATTGTATATCTCACTTCATTAATACCCAGCTTTCCATTCTACCATCTGTAACGAGCAAACTAGACCTTAAAAATTCTTAAGCAGATACCTGGCGACTTCAGCTCACTGTGAACAGCCTCCATGTTGTTCAGCATGAAACAGTACCTCAGGCCATGGACTTTGGGTATTAGCTGCATGTATCCTTTGTCTTCAGAAATTGGCATCCAATATTTACCAATCTCTCAAGATCCACATGGCATATGTCCAATCCATTTGAAGGATGCTTATGAAGCACGGAGTTGCATTGCAGCGCGCATGAACAACTAGCATTGAAAGGCTGCTGCAAGGACATTTTGCTCAACCAAATGGCTGTGTAGGAAATTGAATGGAAGCCAGTCCTCAGTCCAATCAAGGTAGAGCTACTGTAAATCAGGGGTCCTTGAAGTGTCACTCACAGGCACAGTCTGCACGCACATAGAAGGGGGAAGCTATGGCCTAGTAGCATCATCGTTGGACTGTTAATCCAGAGACCCAGATAACGTTCTGGGGACCTGGGTTCAAATCCTGCCATGGCAGATGGTGTAATTTGAATTCAATAAATATCTAGAATTAAGAATCTAGTGATGACCATGAATCCATTGTTGATTGTCAGGAAAAAAACTCATCTGGCTCACTAACATCCTTTAGGGAAGGAAACTGCCATCCTTACCTGGTCTGGCCTACATGTGACTCCAGACCCACAATTAGGGATGGGCAATAAACACCCTCATCCTGTGAATGAATAAACAAGAAAATAAGACCATGAACTTAGCCATAGTCAGCCATCTGTTCGGGACTGTCACGGTCACAGGATATAGTCATCTTCAATCTGAGAAGTGGGCAACATTCAGTCTTGTATGGACAAGCAGTCAGGGGATTTGCGTATCATCAGTTGGGGGCTGCAAAGACAGATATCACAGGTCTGGTCAGTTATGCTCCAAAAAGTTGGTTAGAGGTCTAGGGCGAATACAGTCATGAAGGTTCCTTTTTGATCGTTGAGGAGGTTGCAAGGCACAAAGCGGGGCTCAATTCCAAAAGGGGTGGAGCATTCAACGTTTGAATGCAAGGGGAAGCACAGGCATGTATTGAAGTGGGGACAATTAAGGTGATATAAGAAAACTTTCAAGTGGATATGTAGAACAGCATTGGTGGATATGGCAACCTATGGAAGAGTGGGGGAGGTTACTGACAGTGACCACCACTATAGCCTCCACAGGGGAAGTATGGAGGACCAGGACAGGCATCATTAAAGTGTAATATTGGGGTTCATGGGTCTATGAGGACAGTTGGAGGCAAAGTTCAATGTGGTAGATCTCTACATGGCGGGATGAGTAGAAATGGGCTGCTGGAGTGGTGCAAGATGAAAGATGGAGGGTCAGAGTGTGGGGGTGAGGGAGAGGGGTGGGGGGGTGCGGAAGCCTGGTGACTAAGAAGAGGTTGGAGCTGATGGCGTCTATTGCAAGCTGCATTCCTTTCGATACATGATGCTCTATCTCAACACCATTTTACTGCTTTCACTCCATACCATTGATGCCTTTAATATCTAAAACTTTATTAATCTCTTTCTTGAATATACTCAGTGACCTGGCCTCTACAGCCTTCTGCGCTGGTTATTTCCACAGGTTGATCACACCCTGAGTGAAGAAACCCTTCTTAATTTGAGTCCCAAATGGTCCGGCCCATATCTTGATGCTGATCCCTGGTTCTAGACTCCTCAACCATATATCTATCAAGATACCCTTAAACATTGCTATGTGCCTGCTTCCACCACCTCAACTAGCAGTGCATAGGAAACATCCTCCTAGCATCTAGTCTGTCTAGCCATGTTAGTTTCAATCAGATTCCCTTTCATTCTAGTGAATACAGGCCCAGCTGAACAAAACTCTCTGCACCCGCCTAGTGAACCTCCACCACACTTTCCCTATGGTGAGTATATTCTCTCTTAGGTAGGAAAACTAAAGCTGTGCACAATACGCAGGTGCTGTTTCACCAATGCCCTGTTTAACTGCAGTAAGACATCCTTACTTCTGAATTCAAATTCTCTTGCAATAAAGATCAATATACCATTTGCCTTCCTAATTGCTTGTTGTACCTGCCTGTTTTCTTTCATTAACTCGTATACAAGGATATCCAGATCTCTGTGTACATCCATATTTCCCAATATATCACCATTTAAATAATACCCTTCCTTTCTGTATTTCACACAGAAATATATAACTACATATTTATCCAAATTATACTGCATCTGCCATGTGTTTTCCCACAAATTCAACTAGATCATCATGTAGCCTCATGTAATCTCCTCACAGCTCACATTTCCACCAAGTTTTGAGACATCAGCAAACTTGGAAATATTGCATATGTATTGTGAATAGCTGGGTCCCCAAGCACTGATCCCTGCACCATCCCAGTAGTTACTGCATGCAAGCTGGAAAAAGACTCATTTATTCCCACTCTATGTTTCTGGTCTGTCAATTAATTCTCATTCCATCATATTATCTCCAATCCCATGGGCTTTAATTTTACCCAAACCACAACCATTGGTTCTCCCTTATCTATTCCACTCGTTACATCCTCAAAAAAACTCCGGTAGATTAGTTAAGTGTCATTTCCCTTTCATAAAACCATGCAGACTTTGTCTAATCTCTTTGGAACATCAGAACTAAGAGCAGGAGTAGACATTTCAGCCCCTTGAGCCTGCTCTGCCATTTAATATGATCATGGCTAGTCTCATCTTGGCCTCAGCTCAACTGTTTTTACATCCAATTTTTATTTACTCTAATACTCTATGTTCCCTCTCTTGACCCATCTTTTTGTACTCTTTTGCTGAATTCTAAATTGTTCCCTGCACTCAGACTTGCTACTTTTTTTGGGACTTTTATATCCCTCGTCTTTGGATCTGATATTATCCTGAATTTCTTTTATAGTCATCGTTGAGCCACCTTTCCTGTCTTATTTTTGTGCCAGATAGGAATTAATACTTGTTGTTATTCTTGCATACATTCCTTCAATCACCTCTAGTAACTCGGAAAGCATGCAGTCTGGAGTACTCTGCAAAGCTGAAAGACAGCATCCAGTTACTTTTTATTTTAATTATCTATGCCTTTCGAACTCTGACCTCTCTTTCCTTGTCCTCCTATACTGCTAGCTCAACATTAGCAAGAAGCACTGTCACATATTTTGAATAGAAACTTTATAACCTCTAGACTCAATACAGAGTTCAACAACGTCAGGTAACAATACTACTACCATATTTTGGACAGTAACTGTTGATGGTAATTCTGCCATTCCCATTTACAGCTCCTCTAGACCCACCTTTTGTTTCTAAACATACCTTATTACCATGCATTTTTGCCTTGCATTATTATCCCTTTGTATTTAGTCTCTCCTGCCTTCCGCTCCACCACAAATTTCCCTTTTGTTCTCTCTTCCCAACTCCCTTTACCTCTCTCTGCACTTGCCTAAACTTTTTCACTGTTCTAACTCTTTTCAAGTTCTGGTGAAAGGTTATCAACCTGAATACAATTACATGACAATACAATTCAATACAGCAGAGGAACAAACCTTTTAGCCCACTGAGCCCATGCTGATTCCTACTCCATATTTAGACCCACTACTTATGGCCCATGTGCGGTTTCTATTCCTCTGTTCACCTCCCATTCATGTGTCTATCAAGATATGCCTTAAACGTTGCTAATGTGCCTGCTTCCACCACCTCCAATGGTACTGAGTTCCAGGCATCCACCACCGTCTGTGTGAAAAATTTTCCCCACACTACTCCCCTAAACTTTCTCCCTCTCACCCAGTGCACTCTAGTAGTTGACCTTTCCATCCTGGGAAAAAGCCTCTGACTATCCACCCTATCTATGGCTCTCATAATTTTGTAGACCTCTATCAGGTTGCCCCTCAGCTTCTGTCTTTCCAGTGAAAACAATCCGAGTTTATCCAACCTCTCTTCATAACAAAACCCTCCAGACCGAGATAACATCTAATAAACCTTCCAAAACATCCACGTCCTTCTGGTAGTGTGGTGACCAGAACTGCAGACAACATTCCAAATGTGGCCTAACCAAAGTTTTGATCAGCTGTAACATAACTTGCCAACTTTTTAGTTTGATTCCCTAGCCGATGAAGGCAAGCCTGCTGCATGCCTTCTTGACTACCTTACCTACCTTTCACTTTCAGGGATCTGTGGACCTGTACGCCCAGATCCCTCTGGAGGTCAATACTATAGGGGTCCTACCATTTATTATAATTTATTGATCTTCCAAAATGCATCAACTCGTGTTTGTCTGGATTAAACTCCACCTTCCGTTTTTCTGCCAAAATCTGCAATCTACCTATATCTGCTGTGTTCTTTGACAATCCTCCTCACTAGCTGCAACTCTGCCAATTTTGGTGTCATCTACAAACTCATTAATCAGGCTGCTTACATTTTCCTCTAGATTATTTTTAAATCTTATGTACATCAAAGCTTCCAGCACTGTTCCCTGTGGAACACCACTAATTACTGATCTCCGTTCGAAAAATCACCCTTCCATCACTAGTCTCTGTCTTCTATGACCAAACCAGTTATGTATCCATCTAGCCAGCTCATCCTGGATCTAATGAGAATTTACTTTCTGTACCAGCCTGCCATGAGGTACCTTATCAAATGCCTTCCTAAAGTATAAAGTTTTAACTTGTTTCTCTTTCCACAGATGCTGCCTGACCTGGAGTATCTCATGCATTTTCTATTTTTATGCAAGAAAAGGTAGCCTTTTGCTGTAAATATATAGAAAATAAATCCTTACTTCTTGGACCACCTCTTGATGTTGCTGATGTGCATGTTGTAGGTCAGAATTCAGTCTGTCAACTGTGGACTTGTACTGTTGCAGTTTGGTCAACTTCTCCTGTAATTCCTTTGTAGACGAGTCAAGTTCCTTCTGTAGTTGAGCAGTTTCATGACTAAAATGGTCTATGTCAGATTCATGAGCCTGTTTGAATACTTCAAGTTCTTTCTGAAGCTGCTCCATGGATTTCTCCTGACAGTGATTCTAAGGATAGAATCAGACATATTTAGATTACAATTTATTTCAGTTGCACGTTTTCTGCCACATAGCTGATGAAGATACACTGGTGAAGATGCCTTTTCAATTAGAGTTCTAACCATTTTGGACATGCTCTTTGTCTTCAGGTATGGCAACTATATATTTTTCTTTGCAATTAATTATTACAGATAAAAAGAGGAGTTTAAAAGTATCAGAAGAAAAGTTCATTTCTGAAAAGAGTCGTATTTGACTTATAATGTTAACTCTGTTTCTCTCTTCAAAGCTGTTGCTAGACCTGTTGGCTTTTCCTAGCCCTTTCTGTTTGCATTTCAGATCCCCAGGATCCACAGTACTTTACTTTTATTTGAGGATACATAATCAGTGTTTACAACTCAGAGACAGACACAAAACCCAGCTTTTTGGCTGTCATAGCTCAGTCTGACACTAGAGCATGTAATCTAGGCTAACCTTTCTGCCTTCCAAGGAACAATTCCAAAGATTCACCATCTTCTGAAAGATAGAAAGGTTGAGGAGAAGGCAAAATCATATTGTCAGGCTTAGACTTCAAAACAATACTATTATAGTTATTTTCTGAAGAAGGGTCCAGACCCGAAACGTCAGCTTTCCTGCTCCTCTGATGCTGCTTCACCTGCTGCGTTCATCCAGCTCCACACACTATTATACATTACTTCTAATTACTGCTACACACAGTAGTCATGGATACATCAGGCTCTAGTCCTATTTGGAAAGGACATCTAGAAATAAAAAGCTTAGCTTATGCATGTTCATGTACATGTGTTCTCAAGGCTCTCATTTAAAAGTGTGGTGTAGTCTGGTTTTGTCCACATTGTGCTATTTATGCAGCCTAATGACATTGTCACAAGCTTGCTCCAGAATCCTGAAGTCCTTTCACAACAAAACCAGCTCTTCGAACACTGTTCAGTAACCTCTGCTAATACTTCCTTCCTTCCATATTTATCTCAGCATCTAATTTTTCTTCATGCTTTTCCTTCTTTTTATGTTAAATAAAGCAAGTTGGTTTTGTCCATTCTTTAAGGAAATTATCTTCTGGGAAGGGGTAAGTGAATAGTTAGGGATTTGATTAATCTAAGGTAAAAAAAAAGGTGGTAGTTTTGTGGTAATGTCACTCAACTAATAGCTGGTTTGCTGTGCAGGTGCCAACAGCATAGGTTCAATTCCCACACCAGCTGAGGTCACCATGAAGGTTCTGTCTTTCAACCTTGCCCCTTGCCTGGGGCGTTGTGACCCTCAGGTTAAACTCATCACCAGTCATTTCTCTCCAGGAGACAGCAGCCCTAGGGTTCCTCTGGGAATATGGTGACTTTACCTAATAAGCCAGAATGTCCTGGACTCAAATCCAATCATGTCAGATGGTGAAATTTGAATTCAATAAACATCTGGAATAAAATGCTTGCCTCATGGTGACCATATAATCAGTATCAATTGTTAAAAAGCCATCTGGTTCACCACTATCCTTTTAGGGAAGGAAATCCTTACCTGGTAGGCCTAAATTAAATTCTAGATCTACAGAAATATGATGACTCTTAACTGCCCATTGGACAATGAAATATAGGCAATAAATGCTAGCATAACAAAGTGATGCCCTCATTCCATGAATAAATGAAAAGAAAACAGTACAAATAATTAGAATAATACACAATTATTTGTGAAGATGATACATAATGCAGACTGCAAGGTTACAAAGACTCACATGTAGAATTGTATGATTAGAGATATCTTTCACCTAGATAGTGCAAGTGCTGACCAAACCCCCTTCAAATATATCAAGGAAGTAGCCTAGATCATAACCTTTTCTTATTTAAAGGCAAGTGTAAGGTGCTGATTCCAGATGTAATTAAATTTGTTACACTACTTGGCTTTAAACAAACACACACTTTATTCTTACTCTAAAATTAAAATACAATCAAAAGAAAGAAGAATTGGTCTAACTTTAACTCTATTGGAAAATTTAACAGAATATTGGATTATTTAACTACTAACAGAAACTGTTCCAATATAGTAACATCCCATAAAAAATGCCCAAGTGGGCACTAGAGCAAGTGAGGCACTCTGAGATGCTCCCGAGCCAATCTATGAGACGGGTGATAGTCCCTGCTTGCAAAGTGACCTGGTGGCAGCATGACAATGAAAGGTGATATGAGCTCTTAAGTTGCAGCGTTGAAATGGAGAAATGTATTGTGAGTCAGAGTTGGTGCCATGATGATTTGGTGAAACTGATGTGTGTCCAATGACAACCTCAGTGGATGGGGATGCAGTGGCCATTGCCCATATACCATTAGTTGGTTTCTTCTCTGGCTCAATCTGATTCCCTTCTTAAAGTCATGCCTGATCTGTGCAGACTTTGTACATGACACATCAACATAGTGAGTGTGAATTGGTGTGCATGCGCATTTCCAAGTGAGCATGCATGCGCAGATGCCTTGCAGTTCTACTGTCAGTACACACTGCCTTTCCTAAAACAAATGTTAAGCTAACTGGCCTGTATATTTTTGTCTCATTTATACAAATGATTTGGCTGAGAATATAGGAAGCATGGTTAATCAATTTGTGGATGGTACCAAAATTGGTGATATGTGGACAGTGAAGTAAGTTATCCAAGAGTACAAGTTCTTGATCAACTGGGCCATTAGGCTGAGGAATGGCAGACGGACTTTAATTGAGATAAATGCGAGGTGCTGCACTTTGGTCAGACAAACCAGGACAGGAGTTATGCAGTTAACAGTAGGGCCCCAGGAAAAGTTATCAAACAGAGAGACCTAAGGGTGCAGGCACATAGTTCCTTGAAAGTTTCATCACAGGTAGGGTGGTGAAGAAGGCATTTGGCATGTTTGGCTTCATTGGTCAGAGCATTGCGTACAGGAGTTGGAACGTCATGTTACAGTTGTACAATACATTGGTAAGGTCACATTAGGAGTACTGCATACAATTCAGGTTGCCCTGTGATAGGAATTGTATGCAGTTATTCAACTGGAAGGGGTATATAAAAGATTTACAAGATTTACCAAGACTGGAGGGTTTGAGTTATAAGGAGAGGCTGGATAGGCTGGGACTGTTTCCCTGGAGCATGGGAGGCTGAGGGGTGACCTTTATAGAGGTTTATAAAATCATGAGGGGCATAGATAAGGTGAATAGCTAAGGTCTTTTCTCCGGGGTGGGGGAGTTCAAAACTAGAGGGCATAGGTTTAAGGTGAGAGGTGAAAGATTTAAAAAGGACCTGAGGGGTAGGTTTTCCACAGACAGGGTGGTACATATTTGGAATAAGCTGCCAAAGGAAGTGGTGAGGTGAATACAATTGCAACATTTAAAAGATATTTGGACAGGTACGTGGAGAGGAAAGGTTTAGAGGGGATATGGGCCAAACGCAGGCATATGGAACGTGTTCAGTTTAGGAAGCCTGGTCAGAATGGACGAGTTGGGTTGAAGGGTTTGTTTCTGTGCTATATGACTCCATAACCTTCTTATAAAAAGATGTTACATTGGCAGTTTTCCAATCCCCTGGCACTTTTCCAGAATCTAAGTATTCTTAGAAGATTACCACTACTGCATCCACTGTCTCTACAGCTACTTCCTTAAATAGCCTATTTCTGAGGGCCAATGTTCATTTTGGCCTCTCTTGTCCTTTTTATATATTTAAAGAAGCTCTTGTCTGTTTCTATATTACTTGTTAGTTTGCACTAATAGTTTATTTTCTCCTATTTTATGGTCATCATTTGTTGGTTTTTAAAATTTTCACAATCCTCTGTCTTCCCACTAATCTCTGCCATGTTGTATGCTTTTTTTCTTTCAACTTGATGCTATCCTTTACCTCCCTGGTTTTTCATGGTTGACTTATGCCCTTCCTAGAATCCTTTTGTTCACATTGGAATACATCTTGTATTATGAGCCACAAACTACTTCCTTAAATGTCTGACATGCTTCCTCAATTGTCTTTGCTGTCTTTTCCCAGTCCACTCCGGAGCTCTGCCCTCATTCCTTTGTAATTACCCTTATTTAGGTTTAACACAGTTGGACCACCTTGGCTGGTCATCCCTCCTTCCCTTTGGGCACCCTGGACTGACTAAAACATCACTCTCCCAGCTTCGCACGATTCATCCATCCACATCACTAACAGATGTACCCCTCCTTCCTCTTTTAAGAGTGCCCTTAAAGTGTTTGATCATTTCTTCATGGGCATTTATGGATACTCTTCCTTCATAAAGCTACTATCTGAATTCAAATTATTGTTGCTCCTATTATTTCTTTATATATTCAACCGGAGGGGCTACTGACAGACCTTTGAGGAAAACCGATTTAGGAAATGGTGCAAGGCAGTGTAATATTCCAGGAAGAGGAGAAAACTCATTAAAACTACAACAAAGGACAAGTAGCTCAAATAAGTCAAGATGGTATACATTTATGTATTTTGTGAGAAATCTTTGCAGTTTGTGGCTTATTGTTTAACGTATGTTAACTAAGTGTTGCAATTTTCTTCAGTACTAAAAGTACATAGATGCCTTACTCACTTGTTAAAAATTAACAACAAGCTCTGCGGTGTGATCAATCATAAAAGAACGTAACATATTACAATTCAACATGAAGTTTAATGAGAACAAACAAACTGCCCAAAGATATTTAACATGAAAATTTTTCTCCAACCAATTTGTAACAAATTAGTCAAATATTTGAAGTCAGAAGAATTTATTTATAATGACATTTTAAGGTTGAATGTCACAACTTTCTTTATAGTTGACATTGCTCTTTATCAGCTACTTTTCATCATCTGTGTTTGAGTATCTTATCTCTCTCCCATAAGGATACACAGCTTTTTCTCAATTTAATTTTCATCTGACCTATACATCCTGTCACAACTGGTTTATTCAACTTACGTTCATGCAAACCTCTGCCAATTAACTTTGACACATTTGTGCATACTACTGATGCCATTATCCAAGTTTGTATTGTTAATTCAATTGAAATACATATCT